CTACGCACTGCTGTCCAGTCAGTGCCAAGCCGCGGCAGGCCCGACGCGGCCTTGAGCTGGCAATGAAGGTCAGTTCGGCCCGTGCTCCAAAAACAGGTACCATAGCTAAGGGCTCCAGGAAGCGATAGCTCGTAAAGCGTCAGTTACGGGATCCGCTTGACATGTCCCAAACTCTGATGCCAGAGGCTGGAGCAGAGTACTCTGTGCACCAAACTGAAATGCACAGCGTTTCCGCTCTACTGAAGCCGGGGAACTCTGACAGGACACTCCACAGGTGCGGGGCGACAAATACTCTTAACAACGCAGCCCAAAAGCTCTCGACGTGCAAGGACATATCGGCTTCTGAATGTTACCTCGAGTGTCGGAAACCAAAACCTCGAGCCCCCCAAAACGAGACCTGTGGGATCACAGTTTGTATTCGCAGGCTGTGGCACAGAGAAGACAATGTTCCTGGCGACGGTCAGGAAGCAGGTTCTCCTCGCTGCTGGACAAAATTCCAGACTTCCCTGAACCGCTTCGTACCGTGGAACCGCCAGTCTATTCAGTCTAGTTTTGGGTTTAGGGTTTAGGGTTTAGGGTTTAGGGTTTAGGGTTTGGGGGGGTGTGAGCTGAAAATCTTAATGGCTCATAGTCCCATAGACTCACTGGCACACGGCCTCGGGCTTTAAGACAGGACGAGACCGAAAAGGCTTCTGGTTATCCAGCGGTCTGGCCGACCCTCAGCTTGACTTCAGACATCCTCGGAAGGCCTCTCATGCAGCCCAAGGCCCCAAAGGTCCAGCATCTACATTCTGTCAAAACAGCACAGGAGGACATTCCACAAGATGTTTGTACAAACAAGTCCAAACAACATCACAAGCAGCTGTTGGTTCGCGCGGCCTCTTTTTTGTAGCAAGTAACCCGAAGATTGCACACAGCTATGAGTGTGATACCCTTTCCTGTTGCCCTCGGGTGGATTCATACTGCTAGCCGTCGCAGTGAGCCTCGAATGAAAACTGCATCCTGTGGCGGGGGGGCACATTCCGTGATCCTCTTCGACGCACAGTCCACATGCCATGCCTGTAAGCCAGTACCTGGGTGGGTTGCACCCTTGGCTGCACCATGAAGGCTGTAGCACTTCGTACGAAGCAAGAACTGCTGGCTGCTTCGGCCGATATGTCTGCATCTTATTGGCCCCTTGTCCACTGCCCATGGCATTCCTCTCGTGTGGCAGTTTCCTAGCGCCTTTTGCAGAACCTCCTTCAACCTGGGGGGCTCCTGTAGTCGTTGGCCAACTCCTTGAGATCAATTTCCAAGGTAGTGTTCTTCGCCGAAACCATCCACTTACCTCAGCTCAGCTGTCTAGTCTGAAAGAGAAATGCCGTGGTGGTTGAGGACGTTCGAGACAAGAGCTGTCAACAGCTACTCAGAAGAAAAACTTCTGAAACACGAAACACAACGCAAAAGTTTGTTTGCTTGAGGTGCCCCACAACCGCAAGACCACTCCACAGTCTTCTACAACCCTGGCAAGCCACATAAATCCCAGACTTACCCGATGCAGTCGGAAGGGCAAGAGCCCAAGCCCAAAACCAAGACATATAAAGCTTTGGACTCGCTAAGTCCGGGTGCAACCGTATAGCTGCTGAACTGAGTTCAAAACGCTACGGATTTGTTGCATGTGTTCGGTCTCTTTCTTTTGGTGCATGGGCCATCTTGGAAGCAGAAGCGATCAACGACACAGCCAGGATGCTGACCCAGAAAGTCTTTCCGCCATTCTCCTGGCATATTGGCATCGGGAATTCTTCGGATTGCAGTGGTGGCACAGACGTGTGTGAAAAGATGACACCCACACTGAAACACCCCCGCCCCAAGGTGACCACGAACGGCTTGATCAAAGAAGTGTATGTAGGAACCTGATGAAGAAACCCTGACCCTATAACCCCAATATATTAGGGCTCATATACGGAACCCTAATCAAGAAGGATACTGTATTATAACATGTTATACTGTAATATGCTGTATTATATTGTTTCATATCATACTGTTCTATATCTTACAGTACATCAGAATACCCAGCCCCCACGGGTAAAAACCTCAAAGAGGTCGCACAAAAGCTGCACGCCGGATTCCTCGCTGCCCTGACAGAGACTCGAGGGCTGGGAGGAGGCGCCCATCTACTGTAGGGAGACCTATATGATATGTACTGATAGGGTATGATATGATGTGATGTTATATGGTATACATATAAAATAGGGTTATATACATGTATCTATGCTTGCATATATATACATATATATATATATACATGCATACATAAATATAAATAACATCACGTACGTCTTAATGTATCCTGTTACAATATACGATAATATGATAAAATACACAAAAACGTAACTTATCTGTATGTCATGTCAAAGATAATAACATAACGTAAAATGTAAAATGTGAGAAAATAGACTAGAATATGATATGATACAAATTGATATACTACTATATACCCTGATTTACTACAATCTACATGGCACAATGTAACAAATATAATATAATGAGATGATTTGTTTTACTATACAATCTTTTGATATATTATATAACAATATATACATGACACAACATTATATAAACTATATAACATTATATTATATAACATTTTATTACATAACATTGTAGTGCATAATATTCTAGACCGGAAAGAATGACATATGCATATGTATACATGTGCACGCACACGTGCAGATGCGTGAATGCATTCATTTGTACGTGTATATATATATATATATATGTATGAACAGTATATATATGTATGCATGCATGCATGTATGTAACGTTCGGGGATTTCAGCACTATAGCTTAGGGCCAGGGAGGTTTTACTTTCGGATTTTTGGGTTGAGAGCCGTTCAGGTTTACAGACACATGCATCAAGTCAGAGTGTGGTGGCAACTTGATCTGTGAAGCCCCAAACTCCACTTCGGTACCAAGAATGCTCAGGCTCCGGATTTAGGGTTTCGGGGGTTTCGGGTTAGGAGTTGAAGGGCCCATGCTCAGCTTGACAAGCAGAGAAACGAGACTGATCGGGATATCGGTACTAGTCGATTAGCCTTGCTTGTTCAGTGCCATGCCTGAAGCCTTTTGAAGCCACTCGGCCTGCCAAATTTTACATCAAGTGGTCTGAGCTCAAGTTCCTAAAGTCCCAATCCCGAACATCCGACATACCGACAATCCCTCAAACTTTTCCCGCCCACCCATAACTCGGAAACCGCTGACATTGCCTGAAGCATTTGAGTCTCGGGTGCCGCACTGCTGTAATTGAAGCCGTGCACACTTGCATGACAGTGTTGCAATCTTGCCTGTTTGCGACTCGTTCATACCATCGGCGAGCCCGAAGCCCTACAAACAACCCACACCCCAAACTCAAATCCCCCGGCCTGGCTGGACAGCTCGATGGGTCGATCGAAATCGACCTGTCAGGTTTAGGCTTTCTTACTTATGGACTTGGGGCGTAGGGTTTACGGCAGTTTACGGTGTACAGCTCCAGGCTTCCGGGACTTATGCTGTCGGCATTGTCCTGAGCTTACATCTGTTTGCGATAGCGACAGTGGGCTTCCTACATGCCTATCTCTAGATCTGATATGTGAGTATGTGTTTTTTTTTTGTTTGTTGGGGGGGCGCTTGAAAAAAGACAAGCCGTAGAAACCCTGTCACGGAATATAGGACTCACCAGATGCATGGCCGATTCCAGGGGTTAGTCTGCAAACTCGGCAATCCAATCATCATCGGGACTTGAGTTTGAGTCTTGCTTGGAGTGCTGTGGGTTTTCGATGCAGAAGAGATCTCGATTTGCTACCGACATCTTGTGCATGAAGCTTCCGGGCGTTGCGTTTCGGATCAAGGCCTCGATACTCCAGATTCCCAGCTCGCCCAGCTGATGTCCCTCCACTGGACGCACTTGCCTTCAAAAGCAGAAGTCAGGGGCTCCTCTCTGGGCTTCTACATCTGGAAAGCCCCCCCGACTGCGACGGATGTCCACAGTCTTTCAACATCTGACATTGACCCGCCCCCGAGCCCTCCCGGGACTGAAACGCTGTCAGAGAAGCTCGATACGTGGCGTGCCACACCTGAGCATCACATGGTCATGCAGGATCTCGACTTGGGCGTTGTTGGAGGTTGGTGCCTTTCATGACGGTAAAGGTGTACCACATGACACATAACCATCGCTGTAGCCGCTTGCCGACTCTTAGCCAGACAACGTCATCGATCCACAACCCCTTTCGTCCCCGACATGCCAAGAGGCCGGATCTGGGTAGGGCAGTCGTCACAGCTGGTGGCCGCAGAGTTCGGCGTGCTGCGTGCTACCTCGCGTGTCGTTCCAAACCTATTTCCAAAATACTGGTATCTTGGTCCGAAAGGCAAGGCACCCTCACAACCCTGAACCCTAAACCCTAAACCCAAACCCGCCAAACGGAGCCCACACCGGGGCAAGGACGCAGCCGCCGTTCACAAAGAGGCAGCCGTAGCCAAACTTCGTCGCCCTTGCCATGGCGCAGTCGCAGCCCTCGGGGCATCGATTGGGGTTTAGGGTTTAGGGCTTTTAGGGTTTTTAGTTTTTAGGGTTTAGGGCTTTTAGGGTTTTGGGTTTAGGGCTTTTGGGGTTTAGGTTTTTTTGGGTTTAGGGTTTAGGGTTTAGGGTTTAGGGTTTAGGGTTTTCAGAGTTTAGGGTTT